TGCCACTATTTGGAACACCAGTGGCAATGTTTCCATCATCACCGTAGCTTGAGAGCCCTCACAATAGGACCAAGTGACCGGTGGGTCGTGGAGCACTAGAAACATCTATTGGGGTGCCCTACACAAGACAGGCTGAAAAAGCTCTTCCTGCTGTTCTTAGAATCTAGGTCAGATTATTAGATGAATCAAAAACTCAAATTGAGGGACCCCGCTTTTCCACGGATGTCATAAAGAAGGCAGGTACCTTTCCAGAAACTCACGTCACAAGGCTAACAACCATCTCTGCCTTTCATGCTTCCACTCAAAGAGGCCTGGGCCTGAGACGGTGACCAAGGGAGTTTGGGCAGTTGTTCAGAAGAAAGTATGTCTCATCCTTGAAGAGACTTCTGAATGTAAATTTGGACCATCTTAAAAACTCAAGAGGCAAACTCACTGCCACCGGGTCAGTTCGGACTCCGAGTGACTCTCTCGATGGGCAGATTAGAAACATCCCTGTTGGTCTCCACTGCTAGCAGTGGTTATGAGAACATAAAGCCTCCTCTTTCTCCTGAAGAATGATTGGTGGGCTCAAATCACTGACCATGTGGTTAGCGGTTCAACTTGACCACTCACTGCACCAACAGAGCTCCCGGACAATTTTAGAGGATTAAAAAAATTCAATCTACCTTCATTTGTTTCTAAATTTAATCTCCTCAATTACAAAGCAAATAAAAAGAAGCTAGGCAGATGGACTTCAAGGTCATCTTTATCCCCTTCTCTGCTGTATTAACAGGTAAAGTAAAGCAGTGGTTAAAAGGCAACAAAAAATCAAAATCAAAACCCAAGCCAGAAACTGAAACCGAACAAGAGGCTTCCCAACAATTTCTCCAGTTTTAAAGACTAGTGGGGAGAGAACAGGGACACCGAGAAAATGACACATCGTTGTATCTTTATACAAATAACCACCAGGAGGACTTTTTGACTGGCGTCATGAAAAGCCACAAGATGAAACAAAATAAAAGCTCACCTATCTATGCTCCATTAATTTAAGTTGATTTCTAAGGTGACCAGATTTACAGTGGGACACCATTGACCAGGTGGGGGGGAGCGGGGGGGGGGGTGTCGTGATTAAAAATTTGGTCTATATGGACCAAATAGACTGTTCCCTAGCTTGTCATGCATTCTTTCCAAAAATAGGGCCTTTTTTAAAACGCAAAAAATCGGGACTGTCCCGCCAAAAGCAGGACGTCTGGTCACCTTAACCTACACACCTAAAATCGAGTCTACATTGTGGTAGGCAGTATGATGCTCCCGCCTGCTCCCTAACCTCGCTTACCCAACACGTACAACAATCTCTGGGACATGTGGGCATGCCACTTTACATGGCAACACGAGATCTGTGTTGGGATGGGATCGAGGTGGCTAATCAGACGGCCTTAACATCGGGAGACTATCCGGAATTACACAGGTGTGCCCAATGTCATGAAGAGGGTCCTGAAACCGTGGAAGATGGAGGTGGAAGAGGAGGTTAGAGGGATAGGATGTGATGTGAGAGGGGCTGAACCTGAAGCTTCTGGCTTTGAAGATGGCACACAGGGATCCTGGAGCCAAGGAATGTGTCTAGCCTACAGAGCTAAAAAAATTAATTAAGTAAAAGAACAATGAAATGGATTCCCCACTAAATCCACCTACATTTACTGCCAGTGGGCCAATTCCAAATCACAGCAAGCCTGTACGGCAGCGTTTCCCAAAGTGGGCAATACTGCTCCCTGGGGGAGGGGTTACTGAACGATCCAAGGGGCCACACAAGCAGATGCCTACATCTTATCTGGTATTACAGATTATAGTACTAACGTTCTTCTTTGCCAAGGGTGTGCTGAGGAGGAGTATTTTTCGTTTTTTTCCATGAAAAGGGAGTGGTAGGTCAAATATGCTATGGGATCTAGCAGAACGGCCCCTTTGGGTTTCTGAGGCTATAAATCTTTTCAGCAGAAGAAAGCCTCTTCTTTCTCTCATGAAGCGGCTGCTGTTTTCAAACTGCTGACTTCGGTGTTCTCAACCCACCAACACTCCCTGGGCTCTGGATTCCCTCATGGAGCCTGAGAAAGGAGCACAGCCCCGCTGTAGCCTATGCATGTCTGGATTACACAACTGTCAAATAATACCACTGTATGGCTTACAGTTTGTGGGAATTTGTCACAGCAGCCGTGGAAAACTAATACGGACTTGATCAAAACAGATGTGTAACTGATAAGACTGATTGGCTACAAAAGCAAGGTGCATTTTATACATATATAATATTATATACATAAGTAAGGCATATTGCATTACTAATAAAAGCAATCATAGAAACATACTTTTCCTGACTTATTAAGGCTCCTTCTCATTTTCACTCCCTATACCACCCTCTGATACCAGCTCTTAACCCACTGGTGTCTGTATTTGGGGTGGAACAGGAGCCCTTTCAGAAACAATTGATGGGACTCCTCCAGTTGTTGTTGGCCCTCTCTCTCGGGGATGACCTGCAGCTGAATTGCAAAGTCGCTCTTAATTAATTCAAGGACACTTAGGCGGCTGTGGCTACCATCACAGGGGCATGAATGGGCTTCTTCGCCCCAACCCTGAAACCATGCCTCTCCTTAGGCAGAGCTTCTCAGACACTGGTCATCTGGATTGCAGCTTCCAGATCGGGACTCTCCAGGAAAGAGAGTCCCTGGAGCCTTTTAGAGAGAATTACTGCTGTCAGTTGCTGTAAAGCCAATTCCAAGTCACAGTGAGCCCAAGTGCTATGGGGTAGAACCGCTCCGTAGGGTGTCAAGGCTGTGAACTTTCAGAAGCACATCATCAGACCCTCTTGTGAGGCGCTTCTGGGAGGGTTCAATCCACCCATCTTTCAGTTAGTTGTTGAGTGCTGAACCCCTTGCCATCGATCAGTTCTGATTTATAGAGAACCTGTACCGGTCTTCCCAGGCTGTAAATCTTTTGGGGAGTAGAAAGCTCCATCTTTCTCCTGCAGAGGAGCAGGTGGGTTTGAACTGTCGATACTGCAGTTGGCAGTCCACCACTTTCCTGACAGAACAAGATCACGATCTGAGAGACAGGATGGCACCTGTCTACTCTGACTACTGTAATGATGGGGATGTTCAGGCTAGAACTTGTGGAGGCTTGAGCAAGAGTCACCTTTCCTTCTCCTAGTTTGCTTTCTTTGTAACTCATTTTGGTTCAAGACGATCCCAAACAGATTGGAGTGGGAACAAAGAACAGGATGTAAATTCAGAGAAAAGGTGAAGAGGAAACTAAGGATCTCAAACACAGATGGAATTCAGGTATCATGTGGCGTACCAAGCCTACGTCTGTGAAGATCTCAAAAGATGACTAAGAGACTCTCCTTGAACCTTACACTGTGTCATCTGTTGAGGGATTTGGGGGCATGGTCATGGCCCGAACTTTAATGTCCTAAAAAATTATAGGCATTAAGGTTTAAAATATATCTATCCTACTGAGAATCTTATGAATGAAAACGGTTTGATCCATAGCTGATTACCAGGGCTGGACAGCATTTCATTCCATGGAGCACAGGGTTGCTAAGAATCAGGACTCACGTGATGGAAGAACAATCGACAATCAACAAGTAGTATCAACACACATCTTCATTTCCATACAGATCTGCCTTTGTTATAACTATAAAAGTTTTATAATCTCTATGATACCTGGAGCTTGCTTTAAGTTGGTCAATATCATCATCTCCATTCAACACTCACCCACAAATAGAAATATGAAATTCACATTATGGCAATGAATTACAATATTAAGAAAAAACCAAAAGGCACCTCAGAAGGATCTAATGGTTACTGTAAATTAAATGATTATCTATTCAGTTCCCTGAGCGCTAGCTTGCATTTTAATAATGATGCTTTTGACACAACAAAGAGGTTAAGTCAACACATCCATAAACCACAAAGAACCCAAACAACCTAGACAGCAGTCTCTGGGGCCATTCTCCCTTTGTAAGTCACTGGAGGCCAGGGCCTTTCCCAGGTCAACTGGCAAGAACAAGACAGCCTAAACTATGTGGTACAGGTTTTGTGTTAACTAAGCTGAGCCAGTATTCTCAATGGCTTGGCACTTAAGGCCTAGTAATTTCCCATGATGTAATCTAACCCAATTGAATACATTCCATAATGGGGTCTGCTTTGGGCAGTCAATCCAAGTGTTAAGATGATTAAGGCGGAATATAACCTAATGTAAGCTCATAGCCCTGAGAGAATTGAAAGGAATTTTCCTTGGAGGTGTGGTTTACTTCCAATCTCAGTGGACTCTGTGGTTGGGTCTGGAATCTGCATCTCACTCATAGACCTTAGTCTTTGGACTTGAGCCAACTGCCTGGCATACTGCTTGTCAACCACAGAGCCATCGGCAACCTTTCATCTGACCTGCCCATCTTGAATTCATTCGCCTCTTCAGTCACAAGCTTGACCTGCTAACCTTGGACTTATCCATCTATAGCCACCAGCCTGTGGTCTTTCTGCCAATCTTGGTTGTCAGTAACCCGAGCCATCTGAGTCAGGTGAAACCTCCAGCTTGACATCTGACCCACAGGCCTGGGACCTGCCTGGACTTGGACTTGCCTACTTCTACCACTGTGCAAACCATTTTCTTAATGTACATTTCTCTAGACATCTTCATATATGTCACTAGTTTTACTTCTCTAGAGAACCCAGCCTAAAACATAAACGAATGCCATTTACAAAATAAATTCTCCCAGATAATGCTTCTGTAGAAAGGATCTCTGCTAATAGGCCCAGCTTGGTCAACCAAAAGAATCAAAGCTGCTCCTAACCCAACTTTCCCCAGAGAGATGAGACTATCATCAAGACCCAGCACCAACTCTACGTAAATATGATTCTTTTCCTCCATTCTCAAAACACCTTCAAGGTCCTAGTCTCCCACGTACAACTTCAGGATCATTCAACACCTAGAGGATGGCCACCTTTGGTGACACTACCTCAGATCTGTCTTACCTTGTTGAAGTCTTCCGAAGTGGCTCTCATTTCTTTCCAGGTCTTGTTCAGGAGCTGGATGCAGATGCAAAAAAACTCCTCAAAGGATCGGTCATGGGTGAAGAACATCGGATGGAAGTCATTGCAGGTCTCGCTGGCTGGATGGAAAAGAGGAGAAATAAAAGTGGGCATTTTAAAACAACGGAGTGAGTAGATACAGTCAAATAGTGATTCCCCCAAGAGAGAGAATAGTCATCTTGGTTCAGGTGATTGGAGGAATGACCTTTTGAAAATGCAATCAAAGAATAACCTCTGATTGGAGGAATGACCTTTGAAAATGCAACTTCAAAGTTTAAGTCAAATGTAAACCTTAGACACACATTTTTGACTGAAGAAACTCAGTGCCTAACCAACCAACCCCAAGCCATGATCCTTAGTCCTGTCTTTGTTCCACGCTCCCCAGAGGTGAATAGAAGTCCCGCTTTCAGGACATTGTAAGAGCCAGTCCAACAGCACTCTCCAGTGCCGGTCTTCTGCTCCCTTCATTTCCGCTTCCGGTACAGCCCAGCGATGGCAGAAGACAGGCTTTTGCTAGCACACAACAATTGTAGCTTTGCAAATAGCAGCCTTGATCATTTCTCTAGAGTACTCTCGACTTTCCTGTAGCAAGAGCTGGTGACAACCGAGTCCATTAAGCTTCTCATCCCACACTAACTGTTTCTACTACATTCCCAGGCAAAGATGGCAGAAGGTCAAGACAACCCAAATAGCTGTAAAGGATGCAACTGCTCCAGTCGTGACAAACCACAACGCCACGCTTGAGACATCACCGCAGCCCTCCTTGGGTCAGATCCAGGGTGCCAGGCATAGCAACGGTTTCAGAATCCCCAACCAGCACCCGGGCCAGCTCACCCGGGCCAGCTCTCAATTCCAGTGTCTATCCTGTTTACATCCATGACATCGCATGCAGGGCACCTGCTATTTACAATGCCCCTGGGCAGTTCCCAGGGCTGTGATGGTTCACGTTTTATGGATGAGAATAGGAGCCCAAGGAACCATGCATTGTTGACTCTCAAAAACCAGTGCTCTAAATCCTTTTTAAAACAAATAAACCAGCAGTTGTGGATAGAATACTTCTGATTAACCAGTTATACTCCAAGGCTAGGAGAGGAGGAAGGTTTAGGGTGAAATGGAGTTCAGGAACCTTTCTCTACTTAGGGGGAGTCCTGGGGCCAGCCATCTATGAGGGATGGCCACCTATCACTCTTAGGGTTCATCCTCTGGTGGAGTCGGCAAGGAGAACCTAATCACACCTAAGAGAGACAGGCTTTGATAAGGCAGGGCCACAAGCAAATGCAAATCAAATGCTCAACCTTGATGAACAGAGTGAATTCCAGACTCCTGCATAATTTAAAACATCCAAGTGGTATATACTTATATAGCTCACCCTTGTGAGTGGTACAACTTGATGTCAAGATACAGAAATGCTAGCTTCTTCTAGGCAGTGCAAGGGCCCAAGTTAGCATCAATGCACAGCAGCATGTAACGTGGAAATGGGGCAGGATGGTGGTCAGAAGACACAGGTTCAAGTGCAGCCCCTGCCAATTATAGCAAGCCACTTTACCTTTTTCATGCAGCTTTTGCTACTCTTCACTATAAAATGACAAAGTTGGCTCCTCTGCCTTCTCCATGGTTTTCAGAGATGATCAAATGGCATTATTTCTGGGGAAGTGCTTCGGAAATGATCAGAGTGCAAATACAGAGAGGAGGTGCCAATGAGGATGGTGTTGTGCCAGTTTATTGCTTCCAAGAACATACCTTGCTCTTTAATTTTACCCCGATCCCCAGCCATGCCTATTCATATCAGCCAGAAACATATCAGCCACCTCACCTCCAAGTCTATGCTCCTGGGGGAGAGATGGCAAACCTGAAGCTCTGACGTGAAATCACAGCTCTTTGGGGCACTTGAGGCATCTACACACAAGGAATGTGCTCTTTGGTGCCTGTGCACCGAGCTGTCCATCTCCCTTCCATAAACACCAAAACCAATCAAAGAAGTACCTTAAAATACTATGGCCACCCGAGAACTCATTATTAATGACATTCTCCCAGTATCATTTCCTGGCTAATGTGATTACATGTACTATCTCCCCAGCCTCTGCCCCATTAAAGTTTGTATGGGAATGCTGGGGCTGAGACAGCCAGATAAAGCTGAAAGTCCCCAGCCTCACTGTAGGATGAAGAGGAGAGAAAGAATACAGGAAAGCAGGGAGTGTTTATTGAGTACTTAGCCTGTACCAAGTGCACTGCAGAGATCAGCGCTGTGCACAGGAGTCCACAGTTAACAGACTCGGCTGCCAACGGAAAGGTTGGGGGTTAGAGTCCACCCGGAGGGGCCTCAGAGGAAAGGACTGGCAATCTACTTCTAAAATATCAGCTATTGTAAACTCCACGGAGCACAGTTCAAATCTGACTACACAGGGTTGCACATGAGTAGGAATCTAGTCAAAAGGCAACTGGCTTTGTAAGCAGGGGTTATGGTTATCCTCCTTTTAGATACGAGGAAGGCAAAAGTTGGAGGAAGTAAACCGTAAGTTACCCCAAATGACCATTTGGGGGTCCACAGCCAACTTCCTACCTTAGCCGATAGCAAAAATGAGAGCATTTCCTTCTTACTCCTGTTTTTGTCTGCTTGTTTGGGGGGTGGGGCGGTGGGTTGGTCATTTCTTGACCTAGTTCTCCTGTACGCAATAGAAACTGTGAAGGGGACTGCCAGCCCAAGAGGTCCACAGTAGTGAAGAGCCAGCATCTGTAATTGACAACACCTGTCCACACGGCAGAGGCACCAACAACAGCTGCCACCAACCAACCACGTGGGCCTGCCACTGACTATTTTACTCCCACTGCTACCAAGTAGTACAACAAGCACAGAGGCAGATGCCATTAATTTCTTTCTTGGATAACTAATACAAGATTTAGAAAGGTTAGGCGAAAGGTTATCCCAAAGTCACATGGCTTGTAACTGTAGATGTGGGATTTGAACTCTGGTCACGTGGCTCCAAAGCCCGTTTTCTATGACATTAGATTTCCTCATTGCATCATCCAGTTATCCCTGCCTCCACTGCCCTGCCCGAACCCCAAATAATTGTTTCATCCCCGTAGAAGGTATAGATGAAGTACATTCTTATGAACAGAAAAACTTCAATGCTTAATGGTGACGACTGTTAAGTCAGCTCCAACTCCCAGGGACCATGTGTACAAAGAAGGGAACATGGCTCAGCCCTGTGCCATTTCATCACTGTTGCTCTGCTGGAGTCCCTTCTTGTGTACTGTTTCTCAGCCCAGGCGGCTCGTCTTTCAGCTTCTAGTATAGAGGATTCATAAAGTCGCTGGCTAAAGTTTGGAAGATCATCAGACCTTTTCTTCTTAGTCTGTCTTAGTCTGGAAGCTCCACTGAAACCTGTCCACCATGGGCCACCTTGCTAGAACACGGAATACCAGTGGTATCGCTTCCAGCCCCATATCAGCACTCAAGCCACTCGTTTGACAAATGGACAGACTTAGAGTATACTTGGAGTTTGAGGTCCCTCTGCTTTCTCCCTGCTGCTCATGGTCCAGATGGAGTTGTATTCAAACCGTCGGCCTCTACTCCCCTTTGGGTCTGTACCACTCTTCTTCCTGTGTCTGGACCCAGCTGGACTCTTGACTCAGCTCTAGAAATAGGACCCTAGAAACCATTTTTGCCAGACAAGTCTACTTAAGTTCTCATCCTCTTCTTTAGTACTCCAAATAGTAGCTGAATCTCATAGGGACTTTCAAGTTAGCAATAAAGCAAATCATGCTGATGGTATATTAAGAAAATAATGAAGCCAGAAACAATGAGATAAGCAACGGATTGAGACCCAGCCCTGGAGTAATGGCTCAGGCTGCATTCCAATGCGGGCAGAATAAAAGGGAGAGCAGGGAAACAGGCAGAACGAGGACCACAGGAATAGGGATTTTAGAGAACATGCTGTTTTTCCTTACATTGTGTGTTCTGAAACTGCATGCCTACGTGATATAAATAAGACACAATTATTATTGTTTACTCATGTGAACCAGTTAGCATCAAACACATTGGCTGAAGGGGTGATTCACAATGCTGCCTGGCAGTCAAGTCAGTGTTCTATAGAAGCCAGCATTGGGAAACACAATTTTAGTGGTGATATTGAGGTGAACAGAAGTGATTATGTACCCTGTAATATGAAAATTGTCACAACTAGCACTTATGGAAAACTACATGTCAACATCGCCGGCATCACCTCTCCTATATTTCAATAGCAACGAAGGTACTATTATTCTCATCTCTGTTGATGAGGGAACCAAAGGATGGTGAAGTAACTTGCCGTGGCATAGGCACGGAATCTAACCCAACACTCTACCACCAGACTCACTCTTTTCAAATACCACATGATAAGATTGTCTTGTTGTAGTCACGGAATCTAACCCAACACTCTACAACCAGACTCACTCTTTTCAAATACCACATGATAAGATTGTCTTGTTGTAGTCACGGAAGCTAACCCAACACTCTACAACCAGACTCACTCTTTTCAAATACCACACAATAATATTGGCTTGTCGTCTTCTTAAATGTCCTTTGGACTCATTCCTCTGCAACGAGAAGTGAGCAAACAACAAATCAAGAACAATGTGGCCGTCTACAACAGACAATGCAAACATTTGTATGTTGTGTTAGTCTGGGTAGACTAAAGAAACATACTTCACAATAAACATTTTTGTCAATCATTATATCAATAATAATAAACAGAGGAGACCAATATAAACAAAGTATAATCAGATACTAAACTCAATTTTTAAAACAGTCAAGTTCAATCCTTATTTAGCTTATCTAAATCCTTAACTAAAATATTCTATTTATACAAAAATATGGGGTTAGGCCTCTTGAGAGTATCAAGCCAGAGTCAGGCTTTCTACCAGCCATTTTGACCTTCTGTCGTCCATTTTCTCTAACCAGCGTGGTCTCTGAGAAATTCCAATGGTGATTTCTACCCCTGAGCTCAAAATATACATTAATCACATTCATTCTCACTATTTCAAACAGGAATAAACAAAGACTACAACCAAACACAATAATCAAAACTTTAACTTCCCATAT